CAATACATCCTGTTCTGTTAAAGTGATGTGTATTATCAAGAAGACTTTGTCCAGAAGTTCGTCGATGTTAAATTCAAAAGCCTTGGTTTATTCGCGTGTGTGTTCAATTCCAATTATCAAAATGCCAGTAATCTTATATTTTTCTTGAAATAATACTTTCTTAATTATACTTTTGCCTCGAGATGATTCAAGTTTTCTCCCCAATTATCAAGGCTTTTTCTATAGAGATGGGAGGAAAGTATAGAAACGTTAATAAAACCAAAGCAGAGCGTAATTCTCATCAACATTTTCACATTAAAATCTGGAACAAAAATTCGTATAATACCATAGAAGTTCCCGACTTGGCCCGAACGCCAACAAAATGATATATAAATGAAGGATTAATTTGTAGGTTTTATTTCCATATTCTTTATAAAGATTTTAACTTATTTGAAGTAAGGGCATTTTTGGCGACTTCGGTAGATTATCAAGGCTTATATTGAATTTAATCATTGTTTCATTTCTCCTACTAAATGCATCTAAATGGTCTGTATTTACTTACAAACATATCGTGAATAATCAAAAGGAAAAGAAAAGTTTTAAAAATGATAAAAAAAAGATATATTGGACTTTGGCCGATCGTAGCAGTTTTTTAACAATAATTTGGCTTCTCTTTCCGTTGCCCGTTGCAGGCTTTATTAATTTATTTATTAATTCAAGATCATAGCATAAGCCATCAGAGCCAATATATAAATGTACTACGCACTGATAACAGTCCTGAGCCTCCTATCTAAGATCTTAACCCAAAATAATTCATATAAAGAGACATATAGTCAAATATAGCAAGTCATGCAATCAGAAGCAGCATCCCAGCCAAACTATATAAAGAAAAATTCATGTACGCAGCAAACTATAAGAGAAATGCAGGCTCTATCAGTAATAATTTTAACACACAATTATTATACATTCATTTATACATATAATGTAATCATATGGAGTAAGGCTTTAGTGTACTTTATCACCACTTTAGCGGCTGGGCAAGATTGGGCTGAGTTTTAGGTGGTTTATCGCAATTGCTGGTTTAATTTTGTTCTGCAGATAGTAAACTATCTGGGTGTGGAAAATGGAGCCGCCTGTTGGCCCGTATGTGTGGCTTCAAAAATTTGATGTTATGGTTAAAAAAAAAAAAAAAAAAAAAACAAGTAATATTTACATTTTCGCTAGCGGGAGTGTGTTTACCACAAATAATAGGCAGTTGCGCAGGCAGAGAGTTGAGCAGACGAACAGACAGACATTTTCCAAATTTAAAACCGGCCAAAAATTTATGTATATTATGGGGTTTTTGAAGCTAGTTTCAGCGCTTTAAAAAGGTATTGAAAAAAAAAAATAAACATTATGCTCAATTTTTCCCATTTTTGTGAAGATGCTAAAGCATCGCCCATAAAATATGAATACGGATATTGGCATTACTTTATCAATTTCACCAATATATACCGTTGATCAAAATACATGCAAGCACTGATTACAATACAAGTTAGTGAACGGAAAGTGGTAAGATTCGAATGTAATTATATCCCTTGTTTTAATTTGACTGATCGATTGCGTGAATCGAGTTTCAAAACTGACATAACTTTACATTACTAAATGAATTTTTAAAAGATTGACGAAATGGTTTACTATTTTACTACTATATTATTGCCATAATAACGACTTTTCTTTTTTCTTTTATTAGTTCGTTATGAGTCAATGCCACACATACTAATGCCTGTTCATGAGCATATTCTTTTATGACTACTTATTCGCAGCGTTCAAGTAGATGCTTCAAGTTTTTCATAATAGAAGCATTTTTGCTGATACACTTTCTTTCCACCCTATAGAAATATTATTGTTATTGTCACATCAGCAGAGCAGTCCATATAACATAAAATAGACATCATTAATGTAGAACTCGTGCGTTTTATTTTGTTATATTTGTTTCAAGTACCTTCCATCTGTGCTATCCAATAATTTTGTAGTATATCTACACATGAGCGCTTACAAGGATCATGAATCGAATTTACAAATTTAATTTAGGTCGAGAGATAAAAAAAAAGCAAGAAGCAAACGGTCAGTACATGAATTCAATTACTTAATCGTATTGCACATGCATAGGCGGATGTATGAATAAAAACAACCATTATCTCAGAATTATTATTGCAAATTTAAAAGGGGACAATGAATGGTTGTCGATAAGTGGATTACAATTAAAAAAAATTAATAGTAATAAGAAGGATTCTTGATTATCATTTTGCCTAATGTAAACTATATTTTTCCCGTTCTGACCACAAAAATGTTGTTTTGGTTAGAACCCATATTGAAGGCGGATGAGGAAGTGAACGGATTCACATTTCTAAATTGGCGTCACTTTCGCAAAATATATCAAATCTTTAAAAAACAAGTAAGAACACTATAGTGGGGCAAGGCCCATCATAAGTACCCCATATTACCCTACAGTTATTCATATATTGATTTTCAAAACAGGGCGTTATATAGTAAACGTATGGAAAACGTGTTCCGATTCGAACCATTTTTAATAGCGTTCGTTCTTTCCCCAAAATACGCCAGTGTAACAAATTGTATAGAAATATCTGATAAATTGCAGCCTGTCGGTTGAATACAAGAAAACAAGATATACAGACAGATAGACAAGCTTAGAGAAATTTGATCGAAAATGATTCTAGATCGAAAGTACAATGAAAGGAAGTCCATCTTGGTGTTGCATACATCTGCACAAGTTTAACAGACCGTGTGTCCTTGCACCACAATATTATTATTATTGTTATCAATTTATCCAGAGGAATATATATACCGCGCTTGAGGTTCGAACCCCTGACCCTAGTCGAGGTTATTTGCCTTCGGTCACTAAGGCGGACATAATATATAAGAAACACTGATTTTCGTTATAAAAGAAATTAAGTTTACTAAATAAGTTACTAACATAAATATCGGGTCTTTTTACGCCCTACATTCATTGGGGCGCAGGGTTGAGTTTGTGATCGAATTTAAATAAGCCCACATTTTATTATATCAATCGATTTAGAATGATTTTCAGAATCATTTTCTAAATTAACTAGGTGTAGGGTATTTTATGGTGGATCGCGGCTTTCTATAGTTTTTTTAGTTGATTTAATTTTTTTTTTAGTTTTTTCCTCCGTAGACAATCCGTGATAAAAGGTGTATTAAGCTTGTGCGGATGTATCCAATATCCAGGAGATAGGTCCCCCTTTTATTACTCCGACCCATCTGAATGGGTTTCTGAAATCATTTTCTGATCAAATTTAAGCTAGTCTGTCTCCCTGTCGGTCTGATGCCTGTCCATGTATTCTTGCGTTCAACACACGCATTATAATTCTTGAGACGTTTGGAGAAAATTTGGCAAAATTTGACAACCTCCCGCATAACTCTCTCTTTTGAAAGATCACTACATTAAAGAAAATCAATATTTGCAAAATTCCTCGACAAAAGTGGCTGAGTAATATTATGCCGGCATTCTAATTTGATTTGAAAAATTTGGATCGGATCTCATAATATTTTGAACCTCTTCCCATATACTATTTTTAGTTAAAACTAAACCTTCTTCTACAATTATGCATGATGAAGATTAGTCCGTAATCATAATTTGGAAAATGTAGGTCTGTTTTTTGCATATAAGGACTTTAATAAAAAATTAACTCTTATAAGCCATAGAGTTTAGTTTTTAATATCGTATAGTGCAAATTGATCCGTAGTAGGAACTTGGCATAAAAATTAATCGTAGGAAGGTCAGATCGCAAAGGTTCATTTTCTAGATTCCAATGGGTATGTTAGTTCTTGTATGGCGGCGAGGTAATTTATTATCACAAAAACAAGTAAAAAGTAAAACAAAAACACTGTAGGAAAAAAATTAAATTATATTTTTAATCACGTTAGCCATCGTCCAACGCTTTGACTTTCATGAAAGTATTCCTTCATAAGAACGTATAATTTTCAGTGCAAAATAAATGATTAAGTGCGTACATATATGTTTTCAATATTGATTGTTCTGGAAGGGCCAAATCGAACAGGATTTCATCTATTTGCTTGTGTAATCGTGTATATATCAAAAGGTTAAGAAAGAAAATACCATGCAAGTAAAAATTCGTTTTTTATTTTCTTTATGTGACAAATATCTTGAATTAAATAAATTTAGGTAATGGCATAATAAAATAATGAACGGTTGCGTCAATTGTTTACCACCGTTAGGATATTTGGAAATTGAAGTAAGCTATTTGCGTTTCATAATCAATCGTCCGGTACTTAAAGCGACCCACGAAGTCTCAAAAACATAATTTGACGTACGAAATAAAAGGAAAACCGCTTGTTGTATAAATGAAAAATGTAATATCAATTTAAGTGAGACAAGGAATCAAAAAGTAGAAGAACTAGATCGACAAAAGCGGAAACAGAAGCAAATTGTTCAAGTGAAATTTGTCTGGTGAGAAGAACGCAACGAGGACGCCGCAAAAGTTTGCGTTAGGTGTGAGTCACTCACACAGTCACAAGAGCAAACTGAGCCAACAGACAAAATACCGTTCTAATAGACAACAGCAATACGTCGCGCAGCAACCTTTGCCAACTAATAAATTGCGTTACCGTATCTGCACGAGCGGCGCGTTATTATTAGCATATCTACGTTCGTGTCAACCTATCGAAATAATTGTATCAAACGTTGCCTATACGGAACTCATAATTTACGCTTGCTTATAGTCCTTCTACGAAAATACGCCGCTTCCCATACGGAAAAGAATAGTTCCAAGTATAAAACCAAATTATATGCCCTTTGTTGTAAGACAAGCCTTTTAGCAAAAAGTAGTAGTGCAACGCGTTCGGTGAAGTCGGAACAATTTCAATTGCGTTTCAGAAAGTTGTTTGCGCCAACCGCGGCTTTAGCCGCTAAGAATAGCCTCTAGCAGGATCAATTAACTTTACAGCTGCAGCACCGCCGCCATCATCACAACGTACATATGCACGGCAAGGCATTGGTTCAGGACACTTCACAAGGTGATAAGCTTGTTCGTTTAACTAGCCAAAGCAAATCTGAAGAAATTGTTGAAGCTATGAAAAAGTTTGGTGCTAAACTGGTTGCCTATTTGGCAGGTCAAAATGACATTACCACTAAAATCAATAGTTCTACGGTCGAGGACGATAAGCACACTGCGAATTTACAATTAATGCGGCAGCCAACTAATGAACCATTAAGAAGCGTTTTATTGGAATATGAATGTCGTGAAAAGAAACTGGAAATTTTCAAGTCAATTACAGGCGTTAAATTGGAAATGGACGCTTTAACTTTGCAACCAGAAGGAACTAGACGTATGGAATTGTTGCAGACCGAAATACGGCCTATATTCACGGTTGAGTGCCAACTTTCCAACGAACTAATCGACAACGTGCCGCGTTATGAAATGTTTCATATAATGCAATTTGAATCAGAAAAATTCCAGAGCTTGACACAGTGCACTCGCTTCGGTCAAGAAGCCCAACGTAACGTTCGGTTGCAATTTAATGATAATATCAATGCCAATCTTAACAGTAATGATGACGATGGTAGTCAATTAAATATTGGTAGCATACATTTTACTGTGTGGTGGCGCGAGCCCGGTACCTGTCGTAATGAAATGTTGGGTATGGGTAATTTAAAACTAGTTGATTTGTATAATGCTTCACTGCTGGAACAGTGCAAACGCATCAGTGTACAGCGCCGTGGCATACATTTGGCCAGTCTCTACTTTAAAATCATTTTACAACGTGACTTGAATGCCCAACACAAATTTCAAATTATAGACCGTGGGATTGCTCTACATAAGCAAAAAATCGTCGACAGCGATGAATCGCCTACTGCTGGTGACAAAGCGGCGTAGGAAACGAAACAACAAAACCAAGTGTTCTCAACCAACATAGATAAAGCTACCTATTCAGGTGACTATGCTGAGAAATTCTTGTATCCAAAGCAAACGAAAATTCAATGACTAAGAAGTAATGTGATGTTCTGCCCCCCTCCTTCCAAAACATTTTTATATATAATCACCACCGAACACTTTGAGTTCTTATTGTTTCACATTGCTCTGGAATGGTTTATTTGTTATCTAATAAATGTTGCTTGGCCGAAGCAACAAGCAATCGAAAAAATCCCCAAAAAAAAAATGAAAAATAAATAAAGAGTTGATTGCTCGGATTCTTAATTTTAATTATTTAGCAGACCTCTGTTAAGGAGTTAGCAGAGTTTAGTTAACAGTTAGTTACGGTAGGTGTCTTTCTAGCTAAATTCGTTTAGTTAACAGTTAGTTACGGTAGGTGTCTTTCTAGCTAAATTCGAATTTATCTTCATACCCTTCAGACCAAATCATTTATTCAACCATATCACATATAAAATGTTATTTTAGAATGTCGTTATACGAGCAACACTGTAGTAGTGTAAAGCTGCGGTCCACTATGGTTTTTTTACTTTTTTACTCCTTAGGTATGGATTGACCTCTACGGACCAACGTTTCATTCCAAATTAGAACTTTTTTTCTTAAAGAACTGACCAAGCCTTATTAAAGAGCAACGACGACGTCAATTGCTACTATTTCTGTTAAATAAAAGCTATTAAGTAGACGGTAATTCAATGATGGATAGGAAACATTGAAACATGAAAAACGTACCAAATTTCGAAACATCGGTAAAAATAGTTCCTGAAAGAAAAGTCTGAATTTTTTTTGCCCATTCGACAGGTACTTTTATATAGATTCATGTGATATAGGTAAATATAGGTGACATTTTCTAGTTTGGCCGCACTAGAGTCTCAAATTTGCATGTTCTTCCATATCCATGTTTCGCTAACATACCAAATTTCAAAACACCGTTAAAAATATCTCCCACAGGCAGAATTTGAATTGTTTAGTTTATTTGAAAGGTATTTTCAAATAGACTCATGAAATGTGCACAAATATATTTTACGTTGTTTAATATGGACAGAATGGACTTTCAAATCCAATTATATCTTAATTTTAATTATTTAGCAGATCTCTGTTAAGGAGTTAACAGAGTTTTCTGAACAGAAATGGTAGATGTCTTTGCTAGTTAAATTCGAATTTATCATCGCACCCTTTACTTTATATATATATATATATATACGGCTAATTTCTTAGGGTATGTTCGCGAACATTGACTTGGTAGTCGCGATCTTTAGTTTATATCGAAGTATTTCTCTATAAAATTAAATTTATACTGAGTGTGATACAAACACTATTAATGTTTCTTGTTTAAGAGACGTCAGTCTTGGAGATACTCTTTGGCTCTTTACTTGATTTCCATTTGGCGTTTTTCTTTTGTGTTTTTGATTAGGAAATGGAAAGCTTTTGCAAAGTGTTAGTTGATTGATTGGCCGCATGAAAACGAGCTAAGCTAGGAACTGTTCGAAAGTGCTATAGAGGTAAGGACAAAATTTCGCTATTCGTTTTATGTTCAAAACCTTAGTTTTGTTTAATTTTTGTGTTGGTAAAGGCATAATATTTATCCCCTCCGCCTTCCTATTTCCCTCTTCATCGTAACTAAAGGGTATTGAAAGCAGTCCTCTATTACCCCGCGAGAGTTACGCTTAATAATAAGACCCCACATGATGAATTCTACTTGTTTGTCTTAATCTGAGCAGTTAAAGAGTCTGCAAGTAGTAAAATATGATAGAACTTTCCGTCCAACTGATCAAATTAAATATTGATATTGAAATTCTAAATGCAGTTCATCCCAACTAATTGATTTTCCCAAATAATAAATTCCTTAGAGCAGGAAAACCCAAGTGCACATTCGCGGCGCGTCATGCAGCTGTCGGCGAAAAATATTAGTGGAAAAGCGGATTAACGAATTAAAAATGACGCCATGAAGGTAGGTAACAGCAATATGCTTGTAAAAACGCGCATAAATAGACTGTTTGCGGAAGGGAGAGTCAGTCGGATAAGAACATTTGTGTCGAAAAAGAATATTAGAGTTGAAAAGTCGAGAGTGTTGCCAAAGTAAAATGTGAACAGTCCTGCCCTTGGACAGATTGATTGTAAATAAAGAGTCTTGTAGTGAAAACGTGCAAGTGTATTTCTCTTAAAAAGAACATCCACGATCTAGTGATACGAACCGTATTCGAGAAAAGCGAATTTCTTAACAATATATAAAATGCACTGTGCATTATATGAAAATTCTTGATAATATTTGATCAAAGCGTATATAAAACGTTACAATTGTAATTGGCGTAGTCATGAGTAATGCAAAGACATTATTTTAGAAATAACCAAGCGTTTCGTAATATCCTTCTGCGTTCTTGCGCTTTATGTTTTCGCTCTTCTACGAAAATATTCTCAATTTCAGAATTAATATTAACTTTATCTAATTGAAAGTAATTAACTTTTGTTAATTTTACGGTCAATTTTATTTAATCAATTTTCCAACACTTGCGCACATGCACGCACTTAACTATAACGATAAAGACAACATCGCCATCAACAACTTGCCCAGTTTAATTATCTCTGCTTTTAATTATTTTCCTTTGATAAGTTAAACTTAATTTCCTTTCTGTTACACACAGTTTGAAACACATATATAAATGTATTAAAACTATCATCAAAGTCATCAAATTTATGTCTATACGTTAGATGTTATGCGTAATGTGTGTCTGGGAAATTGTAAACGCTTTACGGAATTTATAGTTAAATGCACATAAAGGACAGCATCAGCGTAACGACTGTTATTACGTTTCCCTTACGCGTTGATTATGTATGTGTATATATATGTACATATTGAAAAGTATTATTTTTTTTTTTTTATAAATAACGATATGCTTAAGTGTCTAATCGATTTTTATTATTTATATCGTAAAATATATATGAAATCAAAAATAACGGAAAATCTTAAAGAAGAAAGCAATTTTTTGCAAAACGTTTATTTCCATATTTTTATAGTTGTCACCGAAAGATAAGGGGTATATTCATTTTGTCAAAATGTTTGCAACCACCAAAAGGAAGTTTTTAAAATCCCACAAAGTATATATATATATTCTTGATCGGAATAAGGTTCCGAATGGGTTTAAGAGTGTCCGTCAAGCTATTAATCTCATACCGGCAGAAAAGAGGTTGGAGGTTCCTGCACGCAGCTTGGTATTGAAAATTGGCCATATCTGTTGAAAAACACGCCTGCAGTACCGCGTAATTTTTGAAAACCTACAAGCTAATAAAAAATTATTTTGTTGCTTATTACTAATAAACAGCAGCAGATAAATCTACAAAAATTTGAACGTATATTCTACAGATAATACTTGACGCCAACCCAGTATTATAGTGAACCAAAATTTTTTTTTTTTCAATACTTTTATAACGCGCAAAAATAAGCTTTACAAATATAAAGTATATAAAGTATATAAATTTTTGGCTAGTTTCAACGTCGGAATGCGCCTAAGCATGTCCGTCTGCCCAAATGGCCAACTATGCAGTATTAATGATAAATATTCGCCCGTTCGGAAAAATGAAGACCTCGCCAACAAATTTGGAACAACATTTGGAAATAAACTGAACAGGTCAAAGGACACGTCTACAACGCCCATAAGAAACTGTGAATACCTTTGGTTTGCAGGCCTTTTCCTTGTTACTCATAAAGCACAACGCAGAACCCAATAAAAATTTCCGCTTCTATTACGAGAATAGAAAAAACCAACCGCGCCCGTCTAATATTTTAGAGTATAAAAATTTGCCTCTTTTTTCCATTGCTCTAATTTTTTGTAGGATAAGGGTGGTGGACATAAAAGATTCAATCAGGACTGAGCATAATTTTCCTACTTGTTATATATTCCTTTTAGTATTCTTAATAATTTTCTCAACTCACCTAGGATCGTTCAATATGAAGGTATTTAAGTCTCGGAGCGTTTCATTGAAATCGTCTAAATCTTACTTTTTTAATTCTTATTACGGATTGTGAAATAACTATTAGGGCTTGATATAGAAAAACCTAGATACTCAAAGCAAAATAATCGTTTTTAACTGTGGCGAATGTGAATGTGCCTTTTGACTAAACAGATCGATCGAGCTCAGGCAAAGTGCTTCGCCCTCACAATGAGCGCTTTCTACCTTCAAATCGGACCTTAGACTTTTAAAAAATTAAGGTAAGGGCGGCGGTGTCCTACTAAAGGCATGGCAGTTGATAAGTCTTTACTGATTGAGCTCACTGTAACCACGAATAATTACACTTTACGGCGCTGGGGTTTGAGCGCGCGAATACTGCCAGGGTAGCCATGATTTTGAAACGCTCGGCTACTTATGAGCGTTCCTGACCTTCACCGTCATCGCAGTTATGGCAATGTGTTTTCGCGGCGAACGTAGGCTTTTTAATCTCCTGGACGATAGTGGTACGTTTATTATTTCTCGGTACACCACCTGGCCGATCGGGACCATCTTTATGTTGGATTTTTTTGCCCAGCCTTTGAAGCTGTGTTCTTCATAATTGTGTCAATTGGGAAGTTTAGAAAGAATTACAGCTAGGAGTATTTACATATGGATATTTTGTAAGGTGTAAATTTACCATCAAGTTTGCCCCAAGGATTAAGCTCGCCATCGCGCCAGGTTTCCTCACAGCAAATTTGTATTTCTTTTCGTTATGTAAGGGACGACCTCGGGGTTATTTACTAGTGCCTCGTGGCGTGGTGGGATTCTTTATCGTAACGGAAAGGTTTCATTCGGTCATTGTAATTCCCTAGCCGTCCCATAACTAACATTTCAAACGTGGCCTCTACCAATAATTTGCTCGGATTCCGTAGATTATTTACGTTTCCTTGGGTTAACTTCATCTTAGACGATGAGTTATTGACGTTATGCCCGCGCAGATGACTGATCTTGTTCGTCCCCGG